GCTCGGAGCCCACGTACCACCCCACATCGCAGCAAGGAGGCTGTTTTGGGGCAGTGGCGACCTGATCCTGCCCTTCCCTGGTCCTGCCTGGCCCCGCACGGTGCCCGGCAGAGCGTGGACTTGCCTGGGGTCTCCGGCGGACACGCTGCTCAAGCTCTCCCTTCCCCTCTTCTCTCTGCCTCCCCAGGACCCCGGTTTTGCCAGCCAAGCTCTTATCAACAAGAAGTTAAATGACTACCGGAAAGTGAGGTACGGACACGGGGGAGGTGGGCACCGAGACCCCGAGTGCTCTATTCACCCCGAAAAGGGACGGGGCCCATTTCCTCCCTTGACGGGGCAGTGCCGGCTGTGCCGGCTGCACCCAACTCGGGGGCCCATGGGGGTCTGGTTCAGCCGAACTTGCCACCGAGCCAAGGGCGAAAGCGGCTCAGTGCTCCCCAGGGATCCCCGTTACCCCATGTGGGGTGCAGCCCTGTGGGCACGGGTAGGATGCTGGGCAGCCTGGGAGAGATGCTGCCGTTTGCCGGGAGGTTTTGTGCCGGGCTTTGTGCCGGTCTGGTGCCCCTGGCCGTGCCCCGACTGAGCCCACCCCCCTCCCTGCAGCCCCGCAGGTGCCAAGCCTGACTCCTCACCCAAGGGCTCTCGTGGGCTGGGGATCCGAGCCGAGTTCCTGAAGCAGACGGGAACCAGCGCGCCCCGGTCCCCCAGGCAGGATGCGGCCGTCACGAAAGGTAGGTCCCACCCCTGTGACGGGGGGCACCCCAGCATGGCAAACCCGGGGGGTTCACCCCAGCGCTGTCACCGTGCTCATCCCTATAGGGAAGCAGGGATGCTCTTCCCATTTGTCCTGACCCATTAGGATATGATCCCTTTTTTTATTTCTCCCTAGATGACAGCAGCTCCCAAAAAGCCCCGTGGGGCATCAACATCATGAAGAAGAACAAGAAATCTGCCCCCCGGGCCTTTGGCGTGAGGCTGGAGGACTGCCAGCCTGCCCCTGACAACAAGGTACGGCCGTGCTGGCAGTGCCAGCCCCTGGGGACCCTGGCACAGCCCTGGCACCTCCGTCACCCCTTCCCTGTCCCTGCAGAACGTCCCCCTGATCGTGGAAGCTTGCTGCAAGGTGGTGGAGGACCGAGGGCTGGAGTACATGGGCATCTACCGCGTGCCCGGGAACAACGCGGTGGTCTCCAGCCTGCAGGAACAGCTCAACAAGGGGGCCACCGAGATCAACCTGCAGGATGAGGTGAGGGCAGGGCGGCCTGCGTGTCCCTGTCCCTGTCCCCATGCCTAGCCCTATCCTTATCTTCATCCCTGTCTGTCCCCGTGCCTCTGGGATGTTCCTGGGGCTGTTGTCCTGGTCCATGGCTCTGTCCCCATCCTTGTTCCTGTGCCTTTGGAATACTGTTGTCCTGGTCCATCTCCCTGTCCCTGTCCCCGTCCCTATCCCCATGTCTATCCCCATCCTTATCTTTGTCCCTATTCCCATGCCTCTGGGATGCTCCTGGGGCTGTTGTCCTGGTCCATGGCTCTGTCCCCATCCTTGTCCCTGTGCCTTTGGAATACTGTTGTCCTGGTGCATCTCCCCGTCCCTGTCCCCGTCCC